CAAATTGATACTTCACTTGTCAGTTTAATGTCATGACCAGGACGACTTACCTTGAAATACTTTATCGTATAATCGTCATATACTTAAAACAATTTGATAATATGAGAGTAATCATCCACTAAGGAAATTTTCCATGGGATATAATCCATTCGTAGGTTTTCCATCTACTTATAATTATCAAATTGATACCCCACTTGTCAGTTTAATGTCATGACTAGGACGACTTATCATGAAATACTTGTAGCAAAGTGTCGTATGTGCGTAATATGGAGTAACAGCATCAGCAAAGGCATTGTTCGTTGTAGCAAGTGTCGTATGTGCGTAATATGGAGTAGCAGCATCAGCAAAGGCGTTGTTCGTTGTAGCAAAGTGTCGTCATATGTGCGTAATATGAATCAGCAGAGGCATTGTTCGTTGTATATTAACTTGTTGATAACATCGTTTAGAGGAGGAGAGGTTGTTGGTTGTGAGCGATACATGTGCTATATAGAGGGGAGACAGGGTATATATATGTATGAGTAGACGCGTGTTCGCGCGTTAGATGACACTTGACATCATCAATTGTTGTCGTGCGCTGCCTTATAAGTATAAATGTAGACGCGGGCTCGCGTGTTAGATGAGAATATGTACTACTTGATATTGTCAATTGTTGTCATGATGTTGTCGCAATTTACGCAGTAAGGGGTGTGAGAGTCAACCACAACGATCACTGTCAACCAATAGAAGGTATCAATATATTGCTTAGTGTAACACATCATTACATCATATTGCGTGTGTTATGCTGATACTATTGTTCTTATTTACGGAGACAATCGTGATACTCGAGTAAAATATTTTTCGCTGGTTAACAAGTCCGACAGACGCGTGTTTGCGTGTTAAATGACACATATTGGTTGGTACTACTTAATATTATCACTTGCTGTCATATCGCGATAAGCCACGCAATTAAATATCATCTGTCAAAAATGCGATTTTACAAGCTGATAGGCCATAGTCATATATTGGTACCTCATCCAATGGCTCATATACATCTCTCATGTGAGTGTCCCTGACTGGTTAATGAGCATTCTCGTAAAATCCCAGCTTTGCAATCAGTATACATGGTCAAATTCCACGGCTTCACTACTTTAAAAATAAGTGATTCATGGGACTGGTAAGTTTCTTTAGTTAGAGTATGTTCTGTACCATCGATTTCGGAAATAAAGATACAGAACATTGTACCTACATGACATGTTTAGGAGCAATTATGAGAGATCCGAAACTAGAACCCCGTGATTGTCAAACAGCTTGAACGTTGGCGAAAAAAGCTTTAAACAGCTATAAAGTTTGAAACTTTGCGGAACTCAGAATGCGTCTGACAGCCGATGGATATGTCTATCGGGCCTTCAGGATACGTCTGAATAGGCATATCTTTGTCATTCGATTTGTTACTACATTACCCGCCCGAAAGTGCTAGAATGCGCCTACGGGCACTTTTGGGATTTTAATTTGTTTTGTTCCTTGTTTTATTCATTAGGACAGTTAATATCAATATTACTGGAGAAATTGTTTATCATTTTGCGCACGGCAGTGAGCATCAATACTAGCAAGGTGGTTGATACAAATTATGTATTTAATTTTTATTTAAATGTAAGTAAGATGCTTCCTTTTGTTCCAAGTGCCACAGTCAATTTGTACATATTGCAAAAGTACCATTCTCAAACTCTCACGAAAATAACGGTGCATCATCAACTACACCACCCATAAGTCCGCCTCAATTTGTATCAGATATTGATTCTGTGTCTGACGCCTTAGAGTTTCAAGCAAAACTTAGTATTAAGTGTGAAGATAGGAAGACTATACCGGCAAAATGGGTGACATTCTCAATGGTCGCGTTTGATTTCATGTCATCAAGTGCATATTTTATTGGACGATGAAACAATTCAAAGACATAATTATACTATATCGTACAAAATGGCAACAAATGCAATGGCAACGCAGATTTCAGATTTCAGATGATTTCCAGAAGTTTGTAAAAACAAGGCCACATTGTCATTAAAGAAGGATATGGTAATAATTATCATTCATATTAATACGTCAGAAAAGAAAAATAAAAAGAAGCGACACAAATCACTGGCGAATATAAAAAATGTAACCTTGGACTCCGACTCAGAGAATCTCGGTACTTCAGAATTGAAGGAAGTATTACCAGAAAGCGCAAGAAAAAAACAATCCCCAAACGTTATGCTCTCGATAGCCTGGAGATTGAAAGGCTAAGATCATCAAACAACTGCGGGAAAAGTATCACTGCATTGAACACAATCAACCATGTTATATCAATATAAATACTTGCTCTCATCTCCGCTTATCGCCACATCATTTGTCTCTGTGGGCTCATGATTTGTATGATATTTTAATAATATCTCATTGACTACTATTGAGTACATGCTAACATAAATCATGTTTATAGAAACGTGGCTCTACAGACCTCGACTGTCCCCCCTCTTATCCAATCTTTAGCACAACTCATGTTAAGAATAATTCATCAACTCCATCTAATACATGTCCATATCCTTTCCCACCCTAACTACCCTATCCAGCATATATGACTTCCTTCCCAGGATACTTCTCTTTCACAATCGACACCAGGCTCAATTTCTCCAAAAATTCGTATTCCAACTCTTACTCAATTCTTACATGATTTGGATAATGTACATGACATGGAGAAGGAACCTATTCACAATTTGAGGAAGCATTTGCAGAAGAGCATCTTAGCATTATAAATATTAAGGATCTGAGTGATAGAGACTTTCAGGAGTTAGGTGTAAACAAAATCGGGTGGAGGATTACTCTCAAACAGGCTTCAGCACAATATAATTAGATCAGAAAATTTATCAGTAAGTTGAAAGTGTTGTTAATTATATTCATTTGTATTCTTCCACCTGCTGACTCATTACATTTATGTCTTTAGTATGGTACAAGTCTAAGTAGTCTTGTGAGTAGTCTTGTGTAAGCACTTGCATGAGAGTATGTTTATTTTGTTTGATATGACATTTTAGTAAAGACATTGATTTATGATAAAATTCAATCGACTTTTGGCAAGTTTTGTTTGGAAAACCATCTCTTTATTGTAAAATAATATCAAAAGTATATGGATGCTTTGAAAAAGGATTTGGCCATGTCAGGTGTAATCTGACTGCATGCAATCAGGGTCATTGCATGATGTGACAAAATCATGATACCTCTTAAGATTACAGCAAAAGCTGTTTCAATGGGATTGAAGTCTGGCGAATATGGAGGGAGATAGAGCACTCGTCCACCTAGTCCTTCAACGATAGACCCACTCTCCTCCATGATGAATTTTTGCATTATCCAGGACAAGCACGCTATTTGGGCCAGGATATTGGTTCATGCATGGAATCTAAGTGAAAAGAGAGTTAAGACTAGGAGAGTTCATGTTGTAAGTACATAATGAACCTACCACCAGTGACAGGATGAACTTGTTGAACTTTTCTTTATCACAGCTACCTTCCATAATCTCAACAGCAACAATACCTTCCGTCGTTAGTGCTGGTAATATTGTATATCGCTTTCCACAAACAAATACTACCTTTTTTTGAGCACGTGGGTTCGCGAATGCATAACCATAACCTCGTGATAATGACCGTTTACGTTCATCTTTCGCACTCTCATCAAGAAATATCAGTTGTTCAGGTGAATATGACTCTCCAATTTTACTGATGAAAGAACTGCGAAGTAACTCATTCTTTTCCACTGCCGCCTTATGTAACTAGAAAGAAATCTTTTTAGTGAGAATTTACCATCTGTTTGCCTGTTATCATATGTCACCTTTTTTCGAGTAATGCCACAAAACTTTAAAGATCGCCGCCACAAAGTCGGTATAGAGACTTTCTTCCCGGTTCTTATTTCCATCTCAGATAATAATACATCAAGATACCAATCAACTTTCTCAACAACCAACGACGATAAACCCTAGAAAAACGTTAATTTTAAGACAGCACAAATGCAGATGACTTTTTGACTTACCCCCATGTCATTATTATCGAGAATTCTTTTACGTCCACGCATTCCGTCAAGGGATTTCCGACACTCCCCCAACGTTTGAATAGCCTCAGAACTCTGGATACAGTGGCTCGGCTGACATATAAATAACGGCAAATCCGTCTATGAGACAAACCCGCGATGGAGATAGAATACATCTGATACTTCGATCTCAAAGTAACTACGTTGGCAGGAATTACCATGAAGAAATGTTCTGCTGACCGTGATCAAACTATGCATAATAATAACTCATAATATACAGACGCTGAGTAGAAGTTATTGATTAGCACCGCATTGTGGAATCTTGTTGTTGTACCTCAGTTAGGGACCCAAGGACTAGTTGCCCCGTAATCCAATCAAAAGGTCTTGCTGTATACACTTATAACAAATGTATTGATCCAGGTCTAATGGTATTATACACATAATCTCCTCTCATTTACTTCTTTCATTAGACAACGTACGCCCGTTTACTTGCATTAATCAATCATTTGTGGTAAGAATATTTGAATACACATCACATAACCGGTAGAAATGATACGATACGTTCATATAATTTTACCTTGCTTGTCATAATATGAATCATCTGTCTCACCTGCTATCTCGAGTAAATCAATGTACAGTAACAGTTATATACAATAAGCGGTAAATCGTCAGCTAAGTTTACATCATTTCTCCAAAAGAGCAATAGTAATATAATCCATTCAAAAAATAGGCATAGTTTGTTTCGTGTTGCATTTTCTAATAAACCTTATACACAGTAAAGTCCGCTTTAACGAAGAGTTCCGTTCTGCCAAAAAACTTCGTTAATGCGGTGCGGACTCTTCGTTAAAGCGGACTTTTACGAACTTTCATTATAATCACGTGATATTCGTTAAAGTGGGATTTATTCGTTTACTTCTATTCATTCGTTGAGTTAATAAAATCCTCTAAACATGTCTGTTTTTTTGCGGCAATACTTTTTTCAACAATTTGTTTACGCAGTTGCTTTAGCTGACTATATACTTGAATGTTGACACTTAAATCTTGCTGCTGACAAAATAAGACAAGGTCATCAAGAGCCATTACAGCTTGAACAAAGGAAACTTTTCTTTCTTCCTCAATCTTTTCTTCCTCTCCTTCCTCTTCAACTTCTTCTCTAACTGCTGCTACTATTGACTTTAAAAACGTCTCCTCTTGCTCGACATTATTACAATCAATATTCCCTATTGCTACTTCCTCAAAATCAACGAACTCACGAACTTCAGTTAAATTTTCACCTTCGGGAAGTTGTTCAATCAAATCTCTGATATTTGATTCTAAATCAGTCTCTACATCCTCTGCTGAAATGTGATTAAACGTTGTAGGCAAGATTTGTGAGCGCCTCCACGATGACTTAATAACACTTACAGTCACTCGATTCCATGCTGCTGTAGCGAAATTAATTCATCTAGAATTGTTAGGGGTGGCAAGGCATCTAATGGTTTTGAGATAGAACTTGATGCTCCACCTGGCGAATTAAGACTGCTTCTGAGTATGTCATATTCTTCGATGCGGTTCTCACATAGGATTGATCGGTAGTGTGCCTAAAGAAAATTAAGGTTGTATCCCCTCGTTACCTTTACATTATTGATTAAACATAAAATTACATACCTTTAAGCTATATATTATTCCTTAATCTAATGGCTGTAGTGCTGAAGTGGTGTTAGGCGGTAAGAAATAAACTCGAACATTTGTCAATTTAGCTATTACTTCTTCAGTCTTGTGGGAAGTGGCATTATCAGCTAACTTTTCGATTCTCTTTTCTCATCATACTATCCAAGCGACTGAGATAATGAGAGAAAACTGATTGCACCATCCAAGCTTTGCATTCCAATAATACCAGACGGGTAAACTTGATTTCGCGATTCATTTAAGAGCTCGTGGTGTCTGATTTTTATGGATAAGTAGTAAAAGCAGTTTTCTAGTACCTGTTGCATTACAAGTCGCCATTATCGTTATTCTATCCTTGGGTTTTTTTCTTCCTGATATAGGGTTATGTGCAAGTGTATGGGACGGTTCGAGTTTCCAGAATAACGCCGTTTCATCGCAATTAAAAATATCATCTGGATCGTATTCTTGGAGAACGTTCTGCAATTCTTCACGATGTTTTGGAAGATCTTGGTAATCAACACTATCCAACTCCCCCTTTCTCCTATAAACTCGCAAGTCGTTTCGTTGTTTAAAACGGCGAAGCCATCCATCTGATGTTGAAAACTTTTTCGAATCAATTCCTAACAGTTCAGCTAATTTTTTTTACTTTTTTCTGTAGAATAGACCCAGTGAGAGTAATACCATCTAAAATCGCTTGCTCGCAACACTTTCTTCTATGATAGGAAAATGACTTTTCCGTTCTCGCTTTGCGTTTGCTTGATTGATTCATCAACTGCTAACGACCTATCTTTCGACTTGAGAATTTCACTAACCGTTGACTCTCCAATTTTATACTCAGCTGCAATTTCAACATTTTTCAAATGCGGGGTTTCCTCTTTTTTTGACATATTTCCTTCATAACAATTGTAAGGTTTGTACGTAGTTTCTGTGATCCAGAACAATATTTGTCTTTAACTCGGGGACGTTTTTTGGAAGAAGATTCTATATCTAACAATGGTGAGGCTTGTTCCTCACAATCACTTGCAACCTGAATGGGCGAAGAATTAGTCATCTTTATTATATGCAGTATCTCTATATACTATCGTTATGCACCAAAATCTCGGTATATTATGCTAATTTAAGGGGTAGGCTAAAGCGGAGTAGTTTTTTTACAATTTCATTGGTTGATATTCGAGGTTGATATACAAATTTGACCAATGTAATTGCAAGAATCAGGTCACGTTCTACTCCGCTTTAGACACCCTCTAATTTAGGCAATCTTCGTTAAGCTGAATGGTTTATCTTATAGCTGGTTTGAAATTTCTTCGCTATATCGATATACAGATTTTAATTATAAATCTTCGTTAAACCGGAAGCTAAGCATATATGAATGAATCGGTTCCATGAAAAAGCTTCGTCATAAGGCTATCTTCGTTAAAACGGACCTTCGTTAAAGCGGACTTCACTGTGTATTTTGATGCATTCTTTGGAAGAGATGTTTATATTGTTAGTGACATAAATTTAATAATTAAAATGCGCGCTTCCTAACTCCCTATTCGAGCTTCAATTACTCGTAATTCCAAATAAGGATACCTACGATAGAATAACAATAACATGTTACGGCAAGCTGATCTGATGAATCAGATAAGTAAGTCACATGGTAAAATCTTCCAAACAACCCCATGATCGACATTAAATTTAGCTCAGTAACACAAAAATTAAATTAGTAGCAGCGTCTCGGAAAATCTGCAACAAACACGCAGTAATAGCGGTGTTTCGAAAAACCCGCAACAAGCGCAGTAATATTAACGTTTCGAAAAATCTGCAACGGCGCAAAATCTTATATCAAATTATGAGTCCGAAAACGGATTTATTTGATATTGTCAACGTTTTCGAAATAGTTTGCAGTATAATTCTCGCAAGGAAGCGGAAGTAAAAGATTTACTGAAAAATTATAAAGAACATCTGGTTAAGGTTAAATTAAAGAGAATTATTACCATAAAAATACGAATTAGCAGGAAAATTGGTAGATAAAAATTATTTTGTAATTGGGAGGGGTTGATTATTATAAGGAAAATGCACACTGACTATGGTGTTTGATGGAATAAAGAAGCGAAAAGCATTTAAAGATTACTCGCGATAATGCGGGTGGACAGAATAAAGTAGTGAAACTATTTGATTTTATCTGTATTTGGTCATTTGCGTTTATTATAAACGTATCAACTTGAATTTTATGGTATGGACATACTAAATTCAAGTGTGATGGGATGGTATTTATATTGATTAAAAAATTATACCGCGAAACGACTGTTGGGGGTGGAAAAATCGAGTACAGTTGAATTAAACAAGGCTGTCATGACAATGGAAATGGCTTTCAATACTTAAGCAGTCTAGTGAAACTACGAATAAAGCAAAAACCCTTTTCTTATAAAATAGAAAATGTCACCAAATCGCTTCGATTGCTTCTTGGTTTATACTCCAATTGATAAACGCATCCCGGCCTATTTCTATCTTCGATTTTGCGTTTGGCGTTTTCTTCGATAAATCCTTAACGATTGTCTTTCTTTACCGAATAGCAATGATAAATAACACCCGAGTGATACAAGGAGTAAATATTCGGATCCCAAAGCCATTATAGCTATTTCCATGTCTGCAAATTTAAAATATACCCTTTCTTTATATCAGCACCAAGATAGAACCTTTAAAAACAATTGGCTGCATCCTTAATGTTGCCTTGAACTAGATTATGTATAGAGCCGTAAGATCAAACTATAGTACTAGTAAACACCTATCTTGGTACGTATGCAAAAATGATCCGATAGTTATTGAGTACTTAAGTAATGCTAGCAAAGTTTTAATTATGGAGATATAATTTCCATTTATTAAAGCATAGTACACGTCAGCAGACAGTTCTAATACATATCAGATCGGTTACTTTCGGCTCAATATCGGATCAAGCCATTGTTTGTACCAACATATAGCTAGCCAAACATAAAAGTCATAAAAAATGTGCATAGTAATAGATCTAACTAGCCATCCCTCTGTCAGAAGGAGGGCAGCATTTTATAAATGGTCTCGACAGTCTCGTCAGCAGACCAAACAGACGTTTTTCTATCGTTTAATCACAAATGTGCAAAAGGTGGGAGTGGGATATCTAGATGTTATTGTAATGATATCTCGGGTGTGCTGTCGGAGGCTATTTGTTCACTGTGATCTTGGATCAAAAGCTCTTTGCTGGTAGCTGTCTTCGACAGAAGGGATAAGATAGTAGTTTTCAGTACATCATATGAAACGATATGTTAAAATTGTAGTATTAATATAATATCGCGCTACGCTTGGTATTTTTTCAGCGTTGCAATCTCTTCTAACATCTGTCGTATCTCGAATCTCGGTTAGGAATATATTAAACGAATTAAAAGAGTAGAGACATATACAACCAGGACGTTCGATTTGTATACCTTGGAACTAACGATTTGGCTTCATCCGATTTTTCAGGGCATAAATTTACTAACGTGCGAGCTTATATTTGTGTAGATTACAGTAGGAAGAGAAAAAAATGGAAAATATTGCAGGGCTTTTGTATGTACACATGTAACTTACCCAATTTGAGTCCAAATCATGTCAATAAAAATGCAAATGGATAGTAAACTCTGCATTAAAATATTAGAAAAACATCCAGAAGTAAACACAGTGTTAGGAGAAATGTGGAGCTTTTTAGTAGAAATCATTTTTAAAACATACTAATCATATGGCCAAATACTTTTTTAAAGAAAATGTCCCAGAAAATTATGGGTTGAATTTTAAAGAGAGACAGAAAAGTACATGCTAAAAAATTATCAAGTTGGAAGAGAATTATGGTGGAGAATGGGGTGACATTTTGGGCAGTGCCCTAATTAATTTATTAGATTTAATAAATTGAGGGTGTAAAGAAATTATTGTAAAAATTATTTAAAAAATAGCTTATTAAATTGCATCACTCCTTTTAAGCTTTTACTTGATGTATAATACCAGAATACAGGCATTATTGACAGAGCAACATTATTTTTCAAATTTTTTTTCTTCCTACTGTCATTGTCCTATGACAAATAACAGAAATGATGACAAGCAGGGGTGAGTCGGGATTAAGCAACAAAGTTTATAACGTATGTGCATAAGTCTTTCATTGTTAAACTTTTCAAACTTTCTCATATACTCCCAAGTCTTTCGATAAACGCTGCTATCATATGGAGCGACTGAGCATATCGATGATAACAAAACGTTGAATAATGTCTGAACACTGACTCTATATTTGTATTATTCTGCTGCGACTTTGTCTTGTCCATGATCAAATAAGATAAGTCTTCGATATAGAGAGGACCTCAACGACATCTTCAAAGTCTAAAGCAGACGGATTAGAAAACCATATAACATATATATGTCGATGATATAATCATACCTTCTCCAAATTTAAGTTTAGTCGTTATTTGTCGTACGTGGAATGCCTTGGCGAGGGTTTATGTCAGTACTAAAGAGAATTTTTATTGTCGTTTATAGAAACGTTTAGAAGGGGTATGCTATTACCCGTTACGTTTAACAGTTAAGAATTAGAATCATGCCTTCGATTATTATCTTTTTTACACGCGTATTCAATGAAATCTTTCTACATGTTTTTTCGCAATCACGAGAACTTATGAATCTTCGATTTTGGCCAGTGAAACAGCATTACATGTAACCTTTTAAACTGCGTACGTGGCTGTGCAGTTTGTGAGAAACCCCTTACCCTACTACTATAAAAAGCCGAATCTTGAACGCGACAAAAACTATAAACGATAATAAAAACTCTCTTTAACCCTTTCGCCATGGTATACACACAATATGATATTTCCTGAAGAGCAAGCCAAGAAAAATTGTCGTTACATCCTTCCGCGATCAGGAAAAAGATGCTCGCGATAACACACTACGGAGAAAACAAGGCATGTAGATTGTTTGACATGTTCCGTTTGGGGCCGGGTGTCTTATTCATTGAAATATAGTTCTTTGGGTTGATGCATCCCTTAAACGTGGTTCGTTCAAACTCACTCCTATTCATAGATGTCTGGCATGTTCTGTTGGGCCTCGCACGCCCTTTAAACATCGAATCGTACAGACTCACCCATTCATGGATAGTTTGACATGTTCCGTTTGGGGCTTGGGTGTCATAAGTTCTTGGGTAGCCCCGTACGTCCTTTAAATATGATTCGTTCACTCATTCCCGTGTTAAGAAATTCGTTTCTTACCATTTTTTTTTTTTTTTAATATTATCTAGAACAATCGAAGTAACGCAAACGTGGAAGGTTATTTCTTACGAAAATAAGGTATATGGATGGTTGGGATTTTCAGTCTTTTAGATTCGAAGTGTTTTTTGATTTGTTTAGGCTTGTTTGTTATTACATAGAACGGTTGCAGGAAAGTAGTTTTGCTTCAGTTTTACCTTCAGCAATAACCAACTTAACCTTTTCTGCCTGGAGGAAAGGCCGTTATTAATAAATATTTTAAATTATTATTCTGATTCATCGCTTTAGTGCTCCATTTCCCTCTCGGACGTCTGCATGCAAGATGTCACTAGTTTATATCGAGCGATTTAGTTGGAGTTTGAAATCTGATTAATACAAAATGTCTTGCAAAATACATTAGAAGAATTTTGGTAGTTTTCCAGCAATGTCAGATATAAATCATTCCAAACTTGAATAATGTATCGTATTGCTAGTAAAACGTACATTTTAAATTTTTAGCATCTCCATCACAATTTATTCTAAAATCTACCGAACATGATAACGACGATGATCCTAGCATCCGTTGGTTGAATTTTGGAATCGCGTTTGGTAGAAAAGCAATTCAGTATTTGATAAATTTACTCCTTTGGCAACATGACTTGAAAACAAGTGTCTAAGATAAGTAAGACTGTCCAACCTCCATGCATCCTGGAAATGTGATCATGCATTGATTGTTACGGCAAGTAACCTTAAACTATTGAGTTTTACGTTTTAAAACTAGAATCATGTCACTTTTAAAACTATTAATAAACGAAATCGAACTCAAACACTAAAACAATTTTTTGCGAAAAATTCTTTTTTTGTACAATAGTGGCAATAATAATGCTGTGCGCTTGAAGCTTATTATTGCATATAAAACATAAGAATGCGATTTGTATTCAATAATTGCTTCGATATGTTAATTACGTGAGTTGTACCTAGGGAGTAAATCTATTAGAACGGGATTCGCAATCCGTTGCGGTTGCGTTTATGGAGGGTTTAACTGTATGTTAGTTTTCGACAATGCTTTTGGAAGTTGATTATATTCGGGTAGAAAAACAGAAGCTAGCAACAGTGGATTCACTAATTGGAATAAGAGCCGACCTGACTCTATCGCTGGTTTGTTGTCCTACAACAAACATCATTGTTATTATCTCCTTCATTATATGCGCCAACGCTATTGTCTACATTAAAAGTATTATTACGGAAGAGTTGTCGAGAAAAGTTTTACAATGTTGCTAATTTTTTTAGGTTTGTTGATTCTTCGCTAGTTATGCTTGCTGCGAATTTTTCTGTGCCAATTCTGTGTTCAATGTCCAACTTGCCGTTTGTTCTGTTCTCAACGTTTTTTCAGGCACAGTTGTTGCAACGTTGCTGTCGACACGCACCGAGATAAATTAAAATTCGAGTAACAATTGTTTTTCTAAAAATCCAGTCGCATCATATGTGTGAATGCTTATGTTGTTAATTGGGTGAGTTATTAAAAGTTTTGCGTATGGTTGAAATAGTTACTTGTCAAGTAAGACATAGCTCTTTCGGTATAACTAAGAGTAAATGTACAACGCTAGCTTTATCATCTGTAACCGTATGGATTATTGTTTTTTAATCGGGCGTGAATTATCCCTCGCACGAAATGTTGTTTGTTTGAATCATTTTTTGGGGCAGTACAGTGTAAGCACAATAATTGATCACCACACGCAGTTACTGAATTTGATAATCGTATTGTATGTGATACAAATAGGCGTAACGTAAGTGTACTACGCAAGCGTTGCCTGACACTGTGATGTTTTATGATCGTTGATCGCTACACAGACTAACTTACTGTCTTTAGTAATTGAATGTACACAGATAGGCGTAATTATCCCGCGGAACAATTTTCGCCCAACCGTTTATTGTGACTTATTAGTATTAAATCGTATTATCTCAAGATAATATATTGGGATTATTATCTGATAGCGAAATACATTAGATTTAACTAGTTTCGCAAATATATAGTACACACACCAATTAGTGTTATATAATAACGTACACACAATCAGTGGACAAACAAACGTAAGCAGCCGATTTTTCGATTTCCTTGACATAAATGTAAGTTTTTTTGTTAAAACTTACTCATATGCGAATTGTCATGATTTTTTATAACGATAACAAAAAAAAAGCGTGCGAGCACGTTTATTGCTTAACGATTTGAAAATTTATCCGTTTAACACTACTATAAAATGGTGGATCCCCAATATATTATACACTTTAGCGTTTGTGCGTTCAAATTACCAAAAATAGTTTAATACCTATTTTCTTGTGTATGAACAAACGATTTCTTTGTTGCCATTAGTTTCACGACATTATCATAGCTTTCTATTGGCTCATGAATAACTCTTAAGTCTAGTCTTAAATGCAATGCATTGTACAATGGCGTAGAGCTGCTATTTCGGTCATTGTAGATCATACCTATATCTTTCAATGAATGTCACTAAATTTATACTAACGCTAGCGTATATAAGCTTTAGAATCGTTGATAATATTTTAGCAAACATGGAAGAAAAAGCTAACGGACACGGTAAGTTTACTAATACCTCTTATGCAACATTTATTTTATAAATATAAGATATATGCAATTGCTATTTAGGAAACGAGACAAATGTCGAAAGCCATAATGTTCGATTTGTGGTCCACCAAAGCATTCCGAATTTATACCAACTTGTTGAATTGTGTTTGGACGAAAGCACTACAAGTTCCGGTACGTTTATATACATGACCATAAGTCGTTTGTCTAGTACTTTAACCCTTATTTTATCTCTAGAACGAAGAGATTCTCTAGTACGCAAGGCCATTATTTATCCAGAAGAACTGGAAAAAGTCTGCAACATGTTGACTCCCGGAAGTTATCGTTCGGTCTCTGATATTCAATTTAAACAATTGGCAAACGTTGATATTCAACTAGTTGGTTGTTACGGAAATTGTGAGATTATTTCTAAACTGTTACTTCAAAACAATGTCATTGACAAAGATAGGTAAGTACTAAAGGTTGCTATTTAACTATTTAGATAATAATATTAATACAATAATGTCATACTACGCAGATACGAGAAATTTATTAAAGGCGAACAAACATTGGCTACCGGGCTTTATTTGCTAATTGTTGAGCCAGATATGAATCTCCAGCAGTCGCGGAAAACTACAGTAGCAGCCAGTACAAAGTTTGGTCTTGTAATTTTATGGCCGGAGAAGCATTTTTACAATGAAAAAGAAATACTGACAAACGCAACAAACCTTCACCGGTAAATCAACTTCTTCTTTGCTATTCAATATGCACAAACTTTTACTAATTTAATGTTGTTTTTTGTAGGTTTCTTACACGATTGACGGATCAACAAATCTGCTTAATGAGCGAAGAAGATTTAAGAAACTTTTCCTTTTTCGTAAATACAATAAGTACAAACAGAACTGTTGACATTAAGGTTAAGACAAACCAAAAGCAAGAAAAAGGTGTTTTAGTTGGCGATGGATTTAAGGTAATAAAACTATTAAAGTATTCATTCAGTTACAGCGCTTCTGAAGCAGCTCTAGAGGTCCACCTTAGTTGTGTTTAATAAAGGACACATGAATTACAGGCTTCTGACTATTTACTTGTTACTTGTCAGATCGAGTTACCAGAATTGGCTGCATGTAACAAAGATTCATCAAAAGCTTTCATCACGGAATCAAATACTTTACAATCTCTGGCTATTGTTCGAAATATTAGCGAATCCAAAACTTTGTCTGAAATAATGACTGACAAATTTAAGTCTTCTCAAGAACTCCAAAAGTTCTTGGGAAAGAAGCTGAATGAAGAACATTATGGTTTAAATTTAAACAGTTTGAGTATGAATGCATTAGCTCTTTTGATTATAAAGGGTTTAAAAAGACCTGATCTTTTAGCTGAATATTATAAGCAAATATCAAACTTAAAGGCACAAAGGGATAAAAAAATTGATGTGTACAAAAAAAAGGTAAATCAATGGGCTCTTTTAACTCTGGAAAATTATGATAGGTATGTATCAAAATTGATGTTTTAATAAATATTTAAAATATAACTTCTAAATGTTTTAAATTTTAGTCTCTTTAAAAGGGAGCTTTTTAATTTCAACTCATCTTTGATAAAGGATGATCCTGGTAATTATAAGTTTATAGAACACAGCTTTTTAAATTTTTACTAATTCAATGCACTTGGCTTGGTAAAGGTCTCAAAAAATTTTATGTCGGGCATGCAGAAGTTTGTAAAGACATAGAGGCTAAGATTTTACAAATTGATAGAAAGGAATGGAAGTCACTAAAGTATGAATTTTGCAATAAAAGAGAACAGCAGACTAATTCATTACAAGCAAAATTGCGTGATAGGTAAGAAAATGTTTATTATTTTAAGTTATGTTAAGGCATACTACATTAATCTAGTGAATTGGATATATACTGTCTTGTATTACTCCGTGATATAATATGCTTTACTAACATAAGTTAATGTAAATGTTATCTAAATTCAAGATTGGCTGCTGTCAATAGGATGAATAGTAAGACTAAAGCAGAAGAGGCTGATGAAGTATCTGATGTCAACTTTATTGCTAACCTAGATTACACTGCAAGTGAAAATGATATTGCAAAGTTTCAAAAAGTGTATCAACAGTGGAAGGATGATATTAACAAAAAGCTGGAAGAATTTTGGAAACCTCATATTCAAAACATGAATGAAGATGGGAATTTTTTCAAGTATAACGAAAAAGTGAGTAATATTATTGGAGTAGAATCTGAAAAGTTGAAGAAAAAACTTGAATCAATGTACCCCATTGGGTAAGTATATTGATAATCTCATTCTCATCTCATTGTTATTATTATAAATTTGGCTACATATTACTTATACTTTATCAATAGTAATAGGAAAAAAATGATTATTAAAAATTTGCAAAAAACCCCTATAATGGGAATTAACTATCTCCATCAGTATGAATTTCATTATGTCACTGAAGTAGTCAACCCCCCTTTCTGTGAACTGGAGATATTGGAATTACCAAGTAGGCTCAAAGCAAATGCCAATTACACAAATACAGTTTTATCGAATGCATATCAAACAATCCTGTATATAAATGCGAGTTTTGAAATTAGGTAAGATATTGTTATCACTATGTATTCGACCCTTAATCTTTGTTATTATTGACACTGATTGTTTTAGGAAACTTTGCCAACTTGACGATGGGAAATTTGTTTTGATTTTGTGGGACACCGAAAAAAATGGTTATGCTATCTTTTATGGAACACTTCCTGAACTAAAGGAAAAATTCAAACGGAATTCAATGCCGTCTCAGATCAGACTAATGGACGAACCCAGAGATTTGCTGCTTGCTGTAAATAACTCAACAGGTCTTATGGCAACGTATGATAACAATGAACACGTTGTAAGTAACAAATGAGTTAAGCGTTGTATTTATGCATCGCATTATGCTAATACTGAACAACTTTTTACAATAATTACAGCTTAATATCTACAATATTTGTGGTGATGAAACAAGCATGTGTCCACTACATCCAAATCTCATACGGAAATCTCAGTTGTCAACACTTAAATACCTTTTATGGATCAGCAAAACTTCAATGCTCTTTGTTAAAGAAGACGGGGAAGCTTATATGTTCGACTACATGGATTGTTATTTAAGATGTTTTGACAAATTCTCCAAGGACGCAGCTTCAATCCTAAGCTCACCAGATCATTCTTGTATATTTGTACTCAAACCAAAGACTAACCAAGACACAAATCCGGCAGGTAGCAAGATTGGCAGCAGCAAACCCCTAACTGATGCTGAAGAGCACCCATCAGTTCCTGTTGATACAAATGGAGATACAGCACAAGCGCTTGTATTTTTTGTAAATCAAGATAAACAGTGCGAACCACTGGAAATCGAAATCCCTTTACCTTCACATTCTTTAACCCATTATCGATTCACATATTTTGAGCAAATCCAACATTTAGTCACGCTTGACTTGGCACATAATGCACTAGTTTCAGCAAAAGTAAATATCACAACCGAACAGAGTCAATATGGAGTTAAAAGAAATAATGAGAAGCAAGCCATAAACGAACAACCAAGATCAAATGGTTATATCGATGTCTATTCGCACCTTTTTACAAAGTATCCTATAGAACCATGTATACAGGATGGTACCATCTCAGTGAAACTTACCATAGTATTGGATCTACCAAAGGATTTTCCAGAAAATTTTCCAGAGAATATTCCAAAAGATTTACAAAAACTTCAACAGGGCTATGACAAATACATACAAGATAGCTTTAAAAGCCTTCGCAAAGCAACAAAAAAAGATATTGAACCATTAAAAAATTACTCTATTCACGTTAAGAAACTTGGTGATATTTTGTTTCATGAGAATATCTTGGAACCTTCAAGATACAAAGCTGATGAGTGAGTTTGGTTCATTTCAGTAATTCTACAGTTTTATCCTTTTCTAACAATTAAATCTTTATATACAACAGCTGGATTATTCGACTATGTACACTCATACCAATCCAAATTGCTGTGGCTAAAAAAGATAAATTTATTATTTTATGTGATGGTTTGCAATCGGCACAAGGCATTCAAATTGAGAATGGGACAAATGCACAAGATATTAGTCAATCAATTTCATTCTACTGGTATGAGGCAATTTTCAAATATCTACGCGATAAACCTGTGAGTGTAGTTTCTAGTATGGGCGAACAGTCTTGTGGCAAATCATATTTCCTCAACCATTTCATTGGCACGAGCTTTGATGGCTCTGCTAAGGTAGGTGATTTCTTTTGTCCATGTAATGAATAAAACAGCAAATCGTAACTCTTTTTTTGTTGTAGCGCTGCACTGAAGGAATATGGTTGTCTTTAGGTAAGTTTTACTTCTATATTAATATTTAGATTTTTTTTTAGGTTTTTGAACTGATAGGAATATTTTGTTTAATAGCATATGTGGATGGCGCAGTCTACATTGCATTGGATTTCGAAGGTAACTCCACTGAATTATGTCAAATTCAAACACAAACAAGCTTTGACGTTCGTTGCCTCAATATAGGGCTTAACTCAATTGAGAGAACCCCTCAGGATGACCTCCATTTGACTCTTCTTAATGCAAGGTATGAAATGTCAGTATGTGTTTTTCTGCAAAACTGCATTTGTGCTTACTATTTATTTAAATATTTAGTGTGTCTACTATGATACTGTTCAAATGTCCTTTTGCTATCAGTCGAAATACAACCGAAATGTTCAAAAGATTTCAAATTGGGGAAAATTACTTTGGTGGCAAGAATGAAGAAAAAGAGATTTTTCAAGTATGTACAGTACGTTTGGCAACTATTTTATTGGAGTAAAGAAGCTAAAATACATTTTTTATAGACGCTGTTCTGTATCATTATCAAAGATGTGCCAGAAAATGATGTGGAAAAAATTCAAGAGGAATTTGTTGAAAAGATTGGACAAATTGTTGAGACTGTAAGTGTAGTATATAGTGTAGGTGATTTGTCAACTGAATTTGATTGAAAATGACTTCAAAAACGTTAGGACAAAGAAAATAATTTCATCTCAAGATTATTTGGAGATGGTATGAGCATAATACCCTGGCCTGTCTTTAAAGATCCAGGTATGAATGAACAATTCACTATTAGTATGTTAATATGGATATTTAATATGATTATTAATAGTCGAATTTTCTAGACTTTTATGAAACATTTAATGTGCTTAAGAGGAAATTGGATTCCGAAGCACCTAAAAAATATAACTCGACAAACGATTTTCTGAGAAAACTTAAAATGGTTATGGCTAAGTTAGCAGTAAGTGAACTTACAGTATATCAAATACTTTGTTGCAGAGAAAAAAATATTATGTATTAATAAGATTTGTCTCTATAGGTAGCCGATTGGACATCACTTAATGAGAGTATGATACGAAGTGTCACAAATAAATTGAAGAAGGCCCTGTCAAGTGTCATGGGTTATGGCCATGAACCTATTGAAACTGTGTCACAAGACGGCCATCGACAAGATCAGATTTCTGTGTCATTTCTTATGGTAAATTTATTGTAGTGCTGGCAGAATAGTTTAATGATTACATGATTAATTATAATAACAAATGTAGGACCATAACACCGGATCGTCCATAGATGATAAAGAGATACCAACGTTTGATGAGTTCAGGAAGTTAGATTGCTCATTTGAACCACTATCGGATATTGGACTTGTACTCAGTGGGGAAGGGTCGGTTGATACTGCCAAAATCCTGTTAAACGTTTTTGAAAAATACTATGGTCAACGGTCACTTGCGCGTAATGATACTGATTGGGTTGAGCAATACAATAAGTTTATCGATGAAACCATAATTCGCCGTAGCGAACGAGCCGAAGTTTGGTTGGAAGCCAACCTTCAACAGCTTCCACAAGATCATCAGGAAGTTACGACATTGAAGAGCGAACTTCGTGAACTAGTTTATTTGCTTAAACGGAATTGGACTTTATGCAAAAGATCGTGTAACAATAATCGCTGCAGTTTATCTTGCCTGAAGAATCAACATGAGGAATCCGATGGACATGACTGCATGACTGATCATAAATGCCACTTTCGTTGCGAGATTAAGGAGGCTCATCCCGGTGATGAAGAACTTCCAATATGCGATTATCCAGCCGGACACAGAAATAGACATAGATGTGAAATGCGACACACATGCACGGATATATGCAAATATGACAATAGAAACGGATGTCTTCATAAATGTTCAAAGGAAGTTGATCATGAAGGCGAACATCTTTGCGATGCGAATGAGCATTATTGCGGAGAACCCTGCTCCTTATCAAAATCTGATTTATATAAATGTACAGGCATTTGTATAATCCCTGTTGGAATTGAGCACAAAGAACACAAATGTGAGACTCGAGGATGCCCAATCGGATGTTGTGTTGATGGGTGCCATAGATTCTGCCAAAGTAATGACCATCTTCATGCACTTCAGCATGGTGTGGGGAATCATTTCTGTGGGTGAGTTGTAATCTCAGTTGATGTTTCTATATCAATTGAAAGTTATAAGGGCTAAAAAAAAAACGATTGGAACCTAATAGGAAGACACATGATTGTAATAAAATGTGTGAAACACCTGGCATTTGCAAAGTTGAAACCACCATAAATACAAACACCTATAATAACGAGTTTAATACATTTGATTATGACGAGGTACAATATTTTTGCTTTGGATTTGTTATGAAATGTCACAAATTACTGACAGTATATTTTCAAAGCATTCCCAAGTAGGAATAAGATGCAAATGTGATATAGAAATTCTGCCAAACCAACTTGCACATGGGGGGCCTCACAAGTGTAACAAGAGTCATACATGCGATATTAAATGTCCATATTGCGAATATTATGTGAGTATAATAATAAGGGTTTTTTATGTTAAACGGAATGGATCACGCATATTAACAGAAACGTTTCAGTGTGACAAGAGTTATGGGCATAGAGGTTCACACCAAACAGCACATGGAAGCATGAAGCCTATGGCCTGGGTTGGAATTTCTCCAACTTTCCAATACGAAAACCGGACGTTTACAGGAGGCAACTCTGGGAGTTACGTTTATTGTCATATGGTAAGGGTGGGTGTTGGAAACAAATTATGCTAATCGAAATCAAGCTAATTGCTAATTGCATTAATAGTTATGCAAATCTGCCAAACGACATGTCCATATTGATTATTGCAAAAATGTCAATAATTGCAAGGATGTACCCGAAGTTTTTCGCAAGCTCGGGATAGAACATATAGAGCGTAAATATAATCTACCTTATATCTGGGTCTAGGGTTCGCTACTACTTCACAATGTAAAACTATATAAATTGTAGGTAAAATGGAACCGAATCCGGATGAGGCTAAGGATTATATATCTCACTCTTTATACTGGAAGCGCTCTGGTTTCGTCGGTAAAGTTAAATTTAACCATGCTGGTTGTTTGGCAAATTGATACTCGCTAAATTTTAGTATTTGCAACAGATCCTTATGTAGCAGCTGACGAGCAAGAAATATTTGGAAAGTGTTTGCATAAATGTAATCATCATATACACAAGAATATGAACCGCGGCAGTTCGGGTGCGAGTTATTGCAATCTGGAGCTATTCCACGACAGTGTTGATCCTAATACGGAAGTGGCTAGTGGGCATATTTCCAGGGATGGACACCAATTTGATTGTGCTCATTATGGGTCGTATCATATTGTTTTCGTTATCGACAAATCTGGATCGATGAGCAGTGATGACATAAAACCAGATGATCGATGTGGATCTGCAAAGATTATTCAAAGTCATGACAATCGACTTGGTGCCGTTTACGAATGCATAGAGCAATTTATACTTACTAGATGTGGACCAGATGGGTCCGCTCACGAGGCAAATGATATAATGTCTTTTATACTCTTTGATAGCGACGCTCACATAATAATGGAGAGACAAACGTTTGTAGACAATGATGAATTGATGGAGACTCTTTGTAAACAACGCGCCCATGGTGGAACACGGTTCGATAAAGCAATTAAAACTGCAGGTGATCTTATTCAAAAACACAAAAGGAATTGGAGGTAACTTTTTCTGCTTTTGTCTGGACAAGCCTGAAAGTGAGAAAACTAATCAGTCTATTATTTAAAGGAAAAATGTGATCATCTTTCTATCAGATGGAGAAAATAAAATACCTGAGCAGGAACTTCGAAAAGTATGCAAAAATAATGATGACAAAGAGTATGTAACATTATTAAATGGTCGTAGTTGTTTTGGTTAATAAATTGGTAATGAGTATCTATTTTATTAGTTGTCCTGCATATTTGTATACTGCTGCCTTTGCAACAACAGGATCAGGTAGTATGACAATGCATTTATTATAGCATTTGAGATTTGACGCTAAGTTTGCTTGACTACTTGTTATTGTAGGTGGTTTGCAAGTGCTCAAACAAATGGCCGATATTGCATCTGAGTATGTAGACAATACAAGTACGGGGCTTAAATGTCAGTTCAGGATTACACCTACAACAGGAGAATTGAAAAACTATTTTGTAGAGATTGCAAGGAGCATAAGAGAAGATCAACCTACATTGATTAGAAAGCAAAAATCGTTGGTTTTTCCTCAAAATAGAGTGGGAAGAAATTGATATAGTATAATATTGCCATTTTTTATCATCCTCCTTGAATGTCAAGCTGCTGTCTTGCTAGGTTTGAATTAATTTTTTTGCTAGCTGCAGTACATGAAATTTACTAGCACTTTTTACCATATACAGTATATAATACTGTAAAACGTAACATGTAACTATTTTATTTATTTATTTATAATCCCGTGTGTGATAACTAAATCTATTGATATGTGCTGGCTGTAAAGGGATTATTATTTCAAGTGATGTTAATCAGGGAGTTGTGCTTTGATTCAATGTTAAATTTGGAAGCTGCAGAACCTACTCACTATAACAAAGTCACGCAACTTGCAAAATTTTTGAGGAGAGGTTCTTAGTACGTTTCGTAATGTAACAATGTGCAATAATTAGATAACCCAAAGTATTAAGTTTTACAATATATCACAAAATACTGTACACTCGTGCTAAGTTGGGTACAACCTCAGTAAACATTTCTTCTTAAATAAATAAAATCATACTATGCTTCTTTCTTATTGTGAGCGCGACCTGGCATAAGTTACTCAAGAACACTTTACAAGGAAACGGAGAAAACGGAGTTTGCTATCAGGTAGGGACGTCTGTGTAAATGCGAAACGATTCGTAGGGCGGAAGATTTAGTCTATTTGCCGAATGGCTTTTGTAATAATGCCTATAGCTAACACATTACTCGCACACCAGGCGAGCATGAAAATATTCTTCATGATGTAAACTTGGTTGTTTTTTTTTTGTACTTGGATTGTTGATTTTATAGTTCCAATTGCTCGGAGCCAAGTACGGGCACGGGGCATTGAAGTGGGCACCTTCGAGGAAGTATTGCATTTTATTTAAATTGTGATAGCGTTGCAAAAGTGTCATATATTTGGTTATAGAATTTGTATACGTACAAATATTACGTTTTCACGAACGTCGGTCACTGCGCCGGCGATTTCTACTACGTCATCGGGAGAGAACGTGTTTGTGACATGCATGTCAGTCTGAGTTTTCCTTGGGGACATAGACTCATAGATGGACGCGAATCGGTTTGTTTGCAAAATTGATAAAAAGCCATTTGCTTTAAGTAAAACGGTTTCAGTCTTAAAATTTTTTTCAATGTCGTATATGTGGATCCGGTGGAGTCAAAGCGGATGACCATTGTTAACTATAGGTTGTTGATTTATGGAAATGGATATAAGGAGATGGGTCCGGTTCATTCCACCGACAGTACATTTCACCGACATAAATTTCATCGAAAACCAATGATAAGCGCGATAAACCGTAAAATCGGTGAAAGATTAAAAGTCCCTCGCGATAGTAGTTGTGAAAAAATTGTCGGTGAAATAAATGCCTCCCATATAATTGTATATGCATAACAGTTATATAAAAACGGTCGTATAAAATTTTTATAAACCTTACCGAAAGAAGTAATTGAAGGGAAGTCCGAAATTTTAATATGGGAAACGATACACGGGAAGCGTCATTGGCAAACCAAGTTAGATACACAGTGAAAGTTGATATAACAAATTCGATGGGAGGGCACAAGATCCGTTATATTGTGACAATCCGTTTTACCGAAAAACCGATATAGCAAACTCAGAAAATGTTCGATATAGCGGTTTGTATTTATTACTTGATGTTTGTCAATGTAAAAGCATATTGGTCAATAATCAAAAACAAGAAATTGATCAAGACTCGTTTGTTTTTGTTTTGTTTTTTTTCACCATGTTTTTTAGGACTATTTCTTTCTTTTGTAAAGCTGTTAACGAAACCCTTGTCCTTTCCCCCATAATATTGCTAAATGTTATTAATATACAAAAAGGAAAAATATTTGACAACTTGATCTTTATTTCACTGACGGATAAATTTGTTCTATTAATATTAGTATGGATTTATAGCGGATTCGGGCATTTAATGCGGATCTACTACAAATTATAGCGGATTCGGCCA